GTTGCATAATATCATTAGATTCATTGTTCTTCTCCTTTCCACCTTTCCTACTTTTCTGTCTTTTCCAGAGAGCTAGTGTTAGCATACAATAACGTATCTGAAGTAGAATAATTTGAACCTGGTCATTTGTGCCTTGAGTGACAATTCTGGGTTGATTTGTTTGATGATCCATTGGTTTGTTTTCTTGAATGTCCATGGTATTCATAGAAGTCTTTTTCCAACACCAAAGATGTCAATACTCAACAGCTGAAAACCCTGATAAATAAGGGCTGAATAAGCAAAATAGCTCTTCTTATCTTTCTTCAATACCTTTCTTCAAGGTTACTGTTTGGCTCCTAGGAAAGACAATTGTACTAGGGTTACAGTTACTGCAAAAGCCTCGACATAATTGAATCTCATATGGAGTTGTGTCTTTAGGGCAGGGGTGTCAAACTTGTGTCATCTTTTTTCCTCTTTGCTAAACCAGACTTGGGTGTGACCAGTGCGTGATACATCCGGCCTGTGAGTTTGACAGCCCTGCTTTTATAATAAAGCAGAAAATTGTAAGACCCAGCCAGTTGAATCCTTGCTCCTTAGTCAATGAATTTTTTTGCCTCTGCATCCCTAATCCAGAGAAGGACCCAGCATACTTTGTAGCTCCAAACTTAAGTAATGATTACTTAGGGGCTAACTAATGGGTGTAGGAGAGAAGAAAGTAAATGTAGATATTACTTTTAGTAAGAGGGCAACGGGATTTTTCCAGATTTGATAAAAAAATCTGAATTACTGAAGAATTTGGGAAATATGAGTTTCACTTGCGATAAGGGGTGAACAAAACACACACACTATATATATTAATTTTATTTTTGTGTGCTTTCCTTATCTAGCATTTGATCCTCACTGTTTAAGTATTCATACTGCATCGAAATCAAGTTTATGTGTTCCACCAGACATGTGTCTTGTGTAGAATATGATCTCACAGCCAGTATTCTTTGGCTGACTTTGAGAAACTAAGGCAAACAGATATAGATAAGAACACATGATGAAATCCTGTATGAGACGATTCTTGAACTACCGGTTTTCTAGCTCACTACTCAGTCTCTTAATTAAGTATATTATGGAAGCTCAGAATGTGGCTGACAACATCTTTTCGTAACTTCTTCTGTGAGACTTACAGAGACTTACTTAAAAGAGATGGATGCCTCTCTAGATAGCCATAAACCTTTCAACATTACACGCATCTCAACTTGGTTGGTTGTGGTATTTGTCTCAATATTGCTTGGTAGTAAGGAAGACAGTATAACAGAATCTTTGGAAATAATTGAGAAATTGAAGAATGAGATTCAGTTGCTTCCAGTTTTTGAAGGAAACAAATGATTGGGCTCTCCATTTATAAGATGAGAAATTGCAGTGAATTTGTAAAAAGAGAACTGTCTATCTTCTTTCCAGAATAAAGTATATCAAATGTTGAAGAAGCATTGACTTTGACAACTATATTTCTATATATGTGGGGTATAGAATCTGTAAACCGTTAACCTATCAAGCTTTTCTACACAATTCAAACTTTGGTAGCCTGGCCTTTTTTCAAATTTGGGAAGGGAAACTCACATAAATGATAGAGACAACAAGGATTTAATATGCTGGTGTTAATTTATTAGAATAAATAATGGGATGAGGTTGTGAGGATCAGAACTTAGGTGTGTTGGAAGGGTTCTCCTTAACTCTGTCCATCTCTTACAATCCTGGTGAAAAATTCCTTCTCCAAAAGATTCTATAAGTCTGACAATGGAATTGTTGGGACAACACTTTAAGCTACTTATTAGAGGGATACAAGTATCCTTAATGTATGACCATAATGTAGCCTGCAATTTCTACTATAAGTCATGACAGCCATCAATTGAGGCACCCACATGACCAGTTCGATTTTATAACCTTTTTTGGTGATAGTAATTAAGCAAACATGGCAACTGTAAAGTGAATGTTGCAGTCATAAAATGGGTTCTTTTGTTGCTGGAAGCCACCCAAAATGGCTGGAAACTAACAAAAAAATTTTTGGTAAATCATAGTCATATGATTCTGGAATGCTGCAAGTGATTGCAAAAGTGAGTGGCCAAGCACCTAAAATGCGGTCATGTGACTGCAGGTGCACGTGACATGCTGCAGTCGGAATTCCAGAATTGTGTCATAAGAATCTTTGGGGTGGGGGGGTTTCCGTTGTGTAATTGAATGGTTGCTAAGCAACCAGTTATTTAACAAGGACTACCTGTAATGACATACCTCCATTATTCAATACACTGTAATCCCAGTCCTGTCTGAAAGACCTCTCAGTGCTGGAATTTTTAAAGTCAAACAAAGAGTTAAGTTTCGATGCTTTTTCAGAAATTAATCCCTCCACTAGTCACTAAAATGGACTTCCAGTATTAAGACATGAGAATGGTATATAGCAGGAAGACAAGCTAAAACAATCCTTGACATTTGTGCAAATTCTGGACCTCTAAGCTGACATCCAATCACATGATTTTGAAAAACAAAGAGACTACAAGTAATATGACGATGGGGTTTGTAGGATTTTTTTCCCTTCGTGGTATATTACACATTTTTTGCTATATTTTATTGGGGCAATCACCTCATGAGACAAGAACAGAGTCCCCAAATTGTAATCTTAATTGGAAATCTGTGCATCACACTGTTTATTATTGAGCGGTTACCATGTTTCTTTGGGACAGTGGTGCATTTGATGTTCCATGCCAAGTGACTGCTTTGATTCTAATATCAGGGGGAATTTTCCTGTGGCAATTAATTTGTTAACAGAAGAACACTTTTAAATTTAAAAATCACTTAGCTATGAAATTAGACTCAAATGAAATTCTTGTAAATCTTTTAAAATGTAAATAGCTTTACTACTTATGAATCCATACCTTTGCTCTGCTCAGCATACAAATACAGGATCAACATCATGGCCGCCTTTTCTATAACCTTTCTCAGATTTATGTCCCATCTTTCTTTCAAGAGCTGAAGTTGGTATATACAACATCCCCTCCTCCATTTTTTCCCCATCTACCAACCTCTATAAGTATATTGTAGTAAGACTTTGTTGTTCAAAGCCATCCGGTCAATTTATGTGTCTGAGGATGAATTTGAACCTAGGCCTTCCTTGGTTTTAAAATTTCACTGTTATAATTGAATGTCATTGAAACATGAGAAGTTGTGTAACTTCCTCTCAAACAAAAAGACATAAACAAAGGAAAAAATGTTGGGATTCTCTGTCTTCTTTTTTTTTAATTGCAGGATTTCACTGTAATGTTGGGGTGCCAGCATTAAATTGTATTTTCTTTCCAAAGATCTTCTCATTTTGTTAGACTCTTTCCACCAATGGTGAGAGACCAACTCTTTTCAATCACCAGCCCTGGGTTAACTATGTTTTTTTGCCTACCCTATCGCAACTGGTTGCATTTTCGCATAAAATTAGGACAGGCTGTCAAACTCAAGGCCCACGGGTTGGATGTGGCCTGCAGGGCCATCCTCGAAAATGTAAGGGGCTGGCCTGTGTCGCTTCGGCCTGGTCTATCCGCATTTCTTTGGCCTGGTCTACCCAATGTGAAGAGGAAACATCGGGCCAGCATGGCTTCGGCCCAAGTCTACCCATTGCGAAGAGGAAACTTCAGGCCAGTTTGGGGAGTGTCGCCAAGTTGGCCATGCCCATCCAGCTGGCCACGCCCACCCAGCTGCCCACACCCACCCAGTCAGCCACGCCCCGTGAGTGGCATCAAGGTGGCCACGCTCACCCAGTCGGCCATGCTTGCTCTGTCCCCTGAGGTCAACCACAGCCCTGATGTGGCCCTCAATGAAATTGAGTTTGACATCCCTGCCCTAAACAAAAGAAGCTGACAGTGTAAGCCTATTCTTCCAGTAGACATTGTTTTTGCCAGTAAATAACTCTTATCATGGTGCAAATGCTGTCTTGCCACAATGTGTTTATTTATTTTATTTGACGTTGTGCTGCCCAACTTCAAAGTAACCCTGGGAGGCTTTCACAGTACACTCAACAAAATAAAAACAGTGTATTAAAAACATAACAAAAAACAAACTAGAAAAGAAGAAAACCAACAAGATGGCCAGTCTGACAACAATCCAAACATCCTGCAACCTTCATTAGCCAGCCAAAAGTTCCAGCTACCCTAGCCCAAGGCCTGGAAGAATAGCTAGGGCTTTATGGCCTTCTGGAACACCAGCAGGGTGGGAGCCATCTGGATCCTAGGAGCACCTCATTGCAGAGGGCAGATGCTGCATCAGATATACATCTTTCCTGGGTTCTAATAGGTGACACTGTTTGACCAGAGGAAACTAGAGTAAAGTAAAGGTAAAGGTTCCCCTTGCACATATGTGCTAGTCATTCCTGACTCTAGGGGGCGGTGCTCATTTCAGTTTCAAAGCCAAAGAGCCAGTGCTGTCCAAAGACGTCTCCGTAGTCATGTGGCCAGCATGACTAAATGCCAAAGGTGCATGGAACGCTGTTACCTTCCCACCAAAGGTAGTCCTTATTTTTCTACTTGCATTTTTTATGTGCTTATGAACTGCTAAATTGGCAGAAGCTGGGACAAGTAACGGGGGCTCACCCCGTTACGCGGCACTAGAGATTCAAACCGCTGAACTGCCGACCTTTCGATCGACAAGCTCAGCATCTTAGCCACTGAGCCACCGCGTCCCTGTTTGACCAGAGGAAACTAGAGTACATCAACCCTATTTTCCATGCAACACCATGAGAAATGGGGATGGGGTGGGGCTCAAATGACCAAAACCTATGCCATGTAAGGTTTTATAAACCATAATGGGCACTCTGTATTGTACCCAAAAGCACACTGGCAACTAGTGCACCTTGTACAGGAGAGGGAGAGGGGGAGGGGGGAAGAGGGAGAGAGAAAGAAAGGGACTCATGCTTCTAAAATGGATTTATACTTAAATACATTCTTATCCTGTCTTATAGTAATCAAATATTTTTCTTTTCTGTCTTGTTCTTATAGGTTTTGCCTGGCATTCTGCAGAAACACTGCTGTATTTTACCAGATAGGAATACAGGTAATCACCAAATTTTATTCTGCTCTTTTAATGTCTTCCTTTGTTTTGAGACAAAGAACTCTGAAGGAATTACAAGAATCAGATGATTCTCCAATTGCTCTTCATAAGAAGGATTGGGAAAAAAGCCCTCTGAGAAATGGGTTGTTAATCTTGAATTTAAATTAGCTGTTGTAAGTAGAATAATATATTTACAAATGACATGCCATTTGGGGCTAATTGTTCTTCTAGAAAATGGATTTCCACTCTCAGTATTTGCATATATACATTCATGAAATATATATTTATTTCCAAGCAAACATTTCCAGTTATTGGTTTGCTGAACATCTACAAACTCAAGAGTATATATGGGTTCTTGTAGCTTGATTAAGAATAATTTCCATTTCTCTATATAGAATATGAATTATTTCCTATGCTTGTTTGAAGGAGCAGTTAAGGCTTAACTTCAAAGTTACATTTTAAAACTATTAAATTACTAAAGCTGTAGAAAGTTCATAATGTAGTTTGTTTCCAATATTTTATGAAAAAATTGCTGTCGATAAATAGCCAAAGTAAGGTTGCATACAGTATATTTATACTGAAATTTAGATTAATTTGAAAGCAGAATTCTCGAATGCACATTCTGTGCATTTCATGATTCTCAATGAAATGATTATTCATTTAAAGCTGGAATGTTAAGTTGAAGTTAGGTTCCTACTTATGGCTGAGATGCTGCTTCAGTCTTTTAGACCATGGAAGAGCTAGACTACAGCATGCACAGGTTACCGGAAACGATCCTTGAATTCATCATGTGAATCTTCCAAGGGACTTTAAAGTTTCAAAGACAGGTGATTTTGCTTGTGCTTTTCTTTTCATACGAAATTCCAATTTTTAATGAGTCCTTATAGAGAAACGTTGATGAAGAGACATGATTACAATCAATCTGAAACACGATTGGTACAAAATAAATAAAATATATCAATATTCTACAGCATATATAGCCTTCTACTCACTTGTTATTCAAAAATAACATTAAGCTACTCACTTCTTTTTTTTTTAAAGAACACCTTTAGAATGACTTGCGATAGATTAATACTAGCTAAGGCACAATTAGTTTGCATTTCTCCCCGAGAAGTGCATTTACACATTTCTGACTGGAAAACTGCCTAATAAAATTCAAAAACAAATCTGAAGGATCAGAATTTAGTTCACGGATTAACTCAGGAAGTTCGCATATTGGCTCATGAAAACATACACCTTTTTTTTTTTTTAATTTGATTTATATGCCGCCCTTCTCCGGAGACTCAGGGCGGCTTACAATGCATTAAGCAATAGGCTTCATATTTTTGTATATTTATACAAAGTCAGCTTATTGCCCCCACAAACTGGGTCCTCATTTTACCTACCTTAGAAAGGATGGAAGGCTGAGTCAACCTTGAACCTGGTGAGATTCGAACTTACAGTAATTGCAGACAGCTGGTGTTAATCACAATGCTTTTAGTCTGCTGAGCCACCAGGCCCAGATTACTTGCCTTTCCTACACTGGTAGAAGGGACAACTGGGAAGTAATCCTTCTAAATTGTTCCGGTAAAACTCATCTCCATGAACAAATCTAGTTTCTTAACGTGGGAAGTATCCCAACATCATTCTGAAATCAGAGGTGTACCAGAGTCTTTAATACCCATTAAGTCAGCATTTTGTGGTCTGCAGATTTGATGGCTTCAATTTAGCAAAAAAGCTGCCTTACTGAGAAACATTGCTTTTTACTAGCCACTAAGGAAATGAGGGATTAGTTAAAGTGTGTGCCATGACTCGGTAAAATGAGCTTGAATAAAACATACAACAGAAAGTATAACCATTGCAAGCCTCTAAAAGCAGGAAAGTTGCATGCTCTATTGCAAGTGCTTCTAAATTAAGACTTTCTTTGATCTGAATTTCCACATTATTTCCTTATCATTGGTATTTTCATAGGGAAAGTTCTCTTCAATTACCACGTATTAGATAAAAGGCATGGAGAGGGGAGAATCATTTTCCCAAGGCAAATACAGGAAGCTAGTGATTTTTTTAACTTTGCTTTTTTATTCCAGTTTATATTCTGTACTTGTAACTATGTTTTCCCCAAGTGAGTTGTTAAAAGTTGATTTTGTTATTACTGACTGAGTTTTGCTTTGTTTTTTTGTTGCCTAGAATTGACATGATGATTAGGGTTGCCAGGTCTGCTTCCAAAAAATAGCGGACAAGCGGGGGGGGGTTAAGTAGTAAAAAAATTAAAAAAATTTTTACAATTAAATTATATATTTTCTTACAAACATTTTAACACGCCATTTTAGGTCAGTCGACACAAGCTACAATACATTTTAAAAATGTGAACTGTACATAATTTTATAACGTATTTTTATTTTAATCTCATCATTAATTTTTTCGGAGAATCGAGTTCAATGGATATTCGATCTTTGTCTCATTCTAACTTATGAAAAAAAAGACAAAACGCGATTCTCCTATCCTTATTCTCTTAGACTGTACAGCTTTAGATTACGTACCATTTCATCATAAAGCTTTTGAATAAAAAAAATGTCCACTATTTTGTGAAAAAAAATAGTGAACATAATGTGAAAAAAGCGGACTGTCCGCTCAAATAGTGGACACTTGGCAACCCTAATTGATGATTGAGGCAGCTTATAAATTAATTAAATAAAGCAGCCCCATTGGTGAGTTTGATTATGGCTGTTGGGTCTTTTTGCTGATCATAAGATGGAATGAACTAACATATGACTTCTGGCACATGATATATGGATTGTGACTATGTCATTCCATTTTCACTAATTGAGTTTCTCTCTGGTTTTCTAGTTTTAATTTCTTGTCCACTGCCGACAGTCACAGTTCTAAGATAGCTGGCCAAATAAACGGCTTTAAATAAATAATAGTTCTGCTTTCTGCCACTGACATGATGACCTCTTTTGACCAATTTTCAGGAAGTTATTAATGCTAAGTAGATAATTCAACAAGGGTAAAAGTCTTTGAAATGTTGGCACAGCTGATCAGATCCTTAGCAACACTTCACATATTAAAATATTGGATAATAAGTTTATCTCTATACTGTAACAAAATAATACCCTTTGGCCTCCAGTTCTAATGGGAGAGTCAACAAACATTGCATTGAATTTAATATAGATAATTGGATGCTGTGTGTTTTCTTTTCTGTACAGGTTATGCCAGGTTGAAGATGGTTGTGAATTTGCTCAAGTTTCAAATAACTGTTTCAATGTATTGTTAGTTTCAAATAATTGTCTATCTTTTTTGATAATTGGGAACATCATTAAGCAGTTGTAAACATGTTCTTGCTGAAATAATTTTGATTGAATACAGCTATTTATATCTCACTTTTCAAATGAATTCCCAAGATAGAATATCTAGTACAACACCTTAAGGTAACACTATAAATTTATATTTACAAACCCTACTCAGGGCAGGAATATAACGTGAAGCAGCTCCAAGAAATAGGAGTCTTTCCTTTAATTGAAAGCATTCAGAGAAGGTGTTTAACACCATACAAGTTATTGGATCTACTATTAAACTATTATTAAATGTTTTATGTTAGGAAGTTATTCTTTTTAACATTTAATTGGAATCTGAATTTTTATAACTTTTAAAATTTCTTTTTTCTGTGCTCTTTACCCTGGAAAGATACAATACAGATCTTGATTTCTTTTTAAAAAAACGTAAATAAATTATTTAACATTAGAAGAAAAGTTATTTAAAATTAAAAAATAAGTTATTATGTATTATTTAAGTTTAAACAAATAACAATAAATGAGCAATAAGAGTGCTTTCATAGCCCCCTCAGTCTTCTCAGAAGTAAAGATTCCCAGGCCCCTAACTTCTCCTTGTAGCAATTCCAATCCTCTGATCTTTTTTTTAATCACTTTTCTCTTAATTTGTTTTAGTTTTTTGAGCCTCTTTTGGGGTATGATGGCCAGAACTAGACCCAGGACACAAGGAAGGGGTTTAGCAAAGTAGAATACATTGGAATAACTACTGCTAATGATTTGTTAACTTAAATCTCTTGGTGCAACCATGATTTTCCCCCCATCTTTTTTGCAGACAGTTTCTGAGTCATATTCAGTTGCAGCCAACTACCATCCTAAGGTATTTTTCACAAATACCATAACTTAGCTAGGAATTTCACATTCTAAACCTGTACATTTGATTTTTATTTCCTAGTTGGAGAAACTAAGAATCGTTTTAATTAAATTTCATTCTGTTGCTGTCAGGCCATTTTTCTAGCCTAAGAAGAGTATTTCCGGTGTTATTTATTCAAGGCATGTTAGTCCATTCTGTATCATCTGCAGATTTGATAAGCAATTACTCTACTTTTTAATGCTAATCACTAATAAAAAATATTAAGACAGTAAAGAGTATAATTTATAGGCAGTCCTCAACTTATAACAGCAATTGGACCAGAATTCCTATCACTAAGTGAAGCTGTCATAAATCTCTGGAGTCCCAGTTGCCATTGTTTACATCATTAGGCAAGGCAGCTTTCTGTCTGGTTCCCACAACCAAATCAGTGGGAAAACTGCAAGTCTCAGCTTGGCAGAGGTTGCAAGGGAGAGTTGGGAAGGATGCATGAGTATGTGAAGGAAAGTCAACAAGGGTGTATGACAGGTGCAGTATAGGTTGGGGAGGATGTGTGATGGTGTGTGTAAGAGGTGCAGCATGATTGAGGAAGGTGTGTGAGTACAGTGGGGCTGGGGAAGAGTGTACAATATTTACCCCGTGACTTACAACCTTCCCTGACAACTTCCCCATTGACTTTCTGGGGAAGCCAGCAGGGAAGGTTGCAAATGGCAACTAAGCAATCGCAAGGCACTGTAACCCAGTTATAAATGCAGTTGGTTGCCAAGTGCCCAGATTGCGATCATGTGAGGAGGCTGGGACAGCTGGAAGTCTCAGGACCAGCTGTAACCACCATTCATTCAGTGCTTTTGTAATGTCAAATGGTCACTGAATGAATGGTTGTAGAT